TTTTCAGCAAAGTCAACAAATAATTTCATCAAATGTGGAGGATAATTTCAAAATTTTTGCATTAGAACATAATTCGGCCCAGGGAAAAAAATTCAACAAAATCAACACAGATTCCTTAACATCATAACATAACTCCATCAAATAATTTCAGCGATTCAGCAAAATCAGCACAAATAATAGCCTGATTTTAACCAGAAATCGACAATTCAGCGTATTTGGGGGAGAGAGAAAAAGTTAAAACTGAAGAATGGTACATACCTAAAGCGACTTATTCTACCCTTCGACTTCTTTCTCTATTTGTGTTTCTGTTTCTACCGTACACCAAAGATCAAGTAGGAGTCAGTTTTCTCCCATGCTCAATCAATGGTGGCCGGATTTGTGCGATGGGCGTCGATGCTATGTGACGTCAGAGATACAGGAAGAAGAGGGATGGAGGCTGGTGTTCGGTGGATGAAAGAAGAAGAGAAAGGGACAACAAGGGTAGGGAAAAAAGGGCAATGTGACAACTCGAAATTCCTATATTGAAAAGTCAATCAAATCAATCAAAAGTCAGACTTGTTTCTGTTACCTTTTACTGTGTTAAGGATTATTTTATGAGTTTCTAAGCCTTGTACACCTAAGGTTTGGGTGTTAGGAAGTAATAGCTTGAGATCAGTGGACTGCATCCGAGCTAGAAACCCCTTCAAGAGTGGTTCACGGCCGCAAACTAGGTTCACGGCCGTGAACCCATCCTTGACCGTGAACTCCATGCTATATATAAGAGTTTGGCTCATTTTCTCATCATTTCTTCATCTTCTAGCCGTGAACATCAAGTTTTCTCTCAACTATCATCAACCAAAAGCTCTCTTTTCCCCTCTAAATCGTAAGTAACTCATCCCTTTCTTGTTGTCTTTGAGAAGTTCCTTGCCTTCCATCTTGATTCATCATCTTTTCATCAAAGATCTTCAAGAGTTCTGGCCGTGAACCCTTCAAGTTTGGGCCGTGAACACTCAAGTGTTCTTAGGCCGTGATCAACTCAAGGGCCGTGAACCCTTCACTCTTGGTCGTGATCATCTTTCAGCCTCCCATTTTCAGTTCTAACACTTCATTGATCCGTTTGTGCACGGGACTTCACTAAGTGATACCAAGCATCCTATATCGAACTTTCATTCGAATCACTCACATCAGGTGAGTTCATACCCCTACAAATACAATTTTAAATGCTTTTAAATGCTTTTAGGGGGAGAATACAAGTAGAACACAATACAAATGTGTTAACCATTTACGTGTGAAAACAACAAACAAAAGGATTTCTTATACTCAAAAACTTGTTAAAACTCTTTTAAACTATTTTAGACTTCTTTTATATCAAAATAATATTCGTCTATTTATTTACGTATAAGTATGCTTTAACGGACTTAGGACTACTGCTAAACACCTTGACTCCTGTTCCTTATTTGGTTGTGGGCTTAGGGTAGGATCATTAGTTCGACTGTCGGCTAAATCATAATTATACTCATTAAATACATATATGAATATTAAACCCATTTTTAAGGATCATACTTAACTTAGTTGCTTATGGTGAGTAATTGAGTATTTTCTACAAATCAGAAACAGTCAAACAATCATACTAGTAAATTATAATAGGTATAGTTTAGATGATTACTACTTACTATTTCTAGATCAGTGAAACATACATGAGTCAGTTCATACATACTACTACTATACATTACATTACAATCATATTATAACAAGAACAGAAAGGAACATACATACTATAACAAGAACATAAATAAACATACATACTATAACAAGAACAGAACAACTAGAATGTGAAACACTATTTCATGGCATAACAATATACTTGTTGTGTCACGTTTTGTAACCAGAGTCTCCTGGAGGGAGAGCGTGAGTTTGTGTATAGATCTATACGGGATTGACCATCTTACACCTTGCTGGTAGCTACAGTGGGACCTGCAGGTCTACGGGTGACAAATGTCATACCATTTTCGACGTCTGAAGAACGTCGTGTTTTATACTAGTCAATCAAGCATGGTTATAACCTAATCACATTTTTACCTTAATTAACTAATTGGTTTTAAGGTAGTTAGTGCTTCAGTAAAGTATTTTTCACAACACTACTGTACATCTTCATTTTCCATTACATTCATACTGTGATATTCACACATTGAGAAATGCAAACTATTTTTCTAGTAAAGATAGTCATAAACTTGGAAAAACATACATTTTTACGAGAGAACAAGCATACAAAACGGTTGAGTATTCGTAGAAGACTACTTTTCATTTAAGTAGAAAATATAGGATTTTCTAGAAAGATACAAACATTTTTACTTTACATATACAAACATTTTCGTGAAACTAATGCAAACATTTGACACAAAAATACTTATGCACTCACTCAACTTTTATCTTGATACTCTCTTTCAAAATAACTTGTATTCTCAGGTCACCAGTAGACAGGTACAGATGACCAGGTTTTTGAGAAGACGGAGCATATTCAAGACTCGTCTTTATTTTGTTGATTACATATTTTTGGTGTCTTACAACTTTACACAGAACACACTTGTATCAACTATATTATTAATGCAATGGATGATGTTGTTGCTTGTTTTACTATTGTGCATTGTTATGATATTGTACATGACGTCCTCCGCCCCGAACGTTTCCACCGTTTTGGTTTGGGGGTATGACAGGCAACACACCTTTTATGGTTACATGTCTGACCGAATAAATGATGATTTTAAGATTCAGATGCCAAATAAAGTTATAAACAAACACCAATAAATTCAGACCTATATATTATTAAGAGGTAATACGAGGTAAACAAACAGGGCTTTAGGATTGTATCATTTCACTCCTTGGCTTAGACTTTAGTTATGGAAAGTGTGAATGAGTTACATGATTGCTATACCTTAGTTAGATAGAATCTTATGCAACATGTGACAGAAATGAATTACCATGCTAAATGTTTTATGAAGCTCCAGATAAGTTAGATGAACTTGTAGAATGCTATATTAAATGCTTTTAAAGTGAGTAATGGGCAATATAGACCAATAGATCAAAGTATTTAAGTGGTAAAATCAAGTTCGGTTCTATATATGATCGGAGTATAGTACAGAGCCATACTATTATAAATAAATGATAGATACCCGAATTGAATATAGCGGTACTCACATCTTTTATTATAATAAATAAATGATAGATACTCGAATTGAATATAGCGGTACTCACATTTTTTATGAGATAAAGTGATAAATAGGAAAGCAACAATCGTGTTATGAAAACTGAAAAGTACAGGTGGTTTTCATATTTCCAACCAATATCAAAAATATGTTAATGGTTATACAATATGAAAACGGAGACTATAGCATTGTTGTGATTAAATGAGTACCTTAAACCATAACGTACATAATAATATGCTTATAATTCGAATACAAATCTCCCTTATTAATAAAAGAAACTTTTATACACGTGACATTGTTTACAGCTTATCTGGTTCAATGTTAAATTTCAAAAGTACCCTCTTATTATATTCAGTTCATTTCTTGTATAAGGGTATTATTGTCAAATCTTTGTGACGTTAATGTTGTTCCTCATTCTAATCATCTCCGAATTTAAGGCCATATTTTCTCATTCTTCGTATATTCAAATTGAAAATTCAAACCTAGCCATAACTTTTCATCCTGTTCTACAAATCTGAAACTTTGATCCTTTTTTTTTTTTTTTTTTTCTGATTTCACGCCAAAGAAGATAAAGATCAGTTGATTTCAATCAAAAGGAAACTCCATGAAGCCACCACACAAGCCATTTCTCTCTATACAAGGTAAAACCTTCAAGCTTGAGTCAAAGCGATTAGACCATGTCTTTCAGTTCGACTTGGTTTTTGGATTATGGTAAGTAACATCGCTCGTCAAACTGTTAGGGTTAATTTTCGTTTTTTTTTTCTATAGATTTTCCTTCTTTTGGAATAATGATGGCGATGATGAATAGATTCATTTTCCCTGATTTTTGGGTAATTTGTTTTTTAAACCCTCTGTCCCTCTCGCTTCGGCTCTAATCCAAGAATATGTCGAATCATGGAAGTTATTTGAATTTATACGAGCAAATCATTTGCTGTTCCATATGTGTTGAGTTTTTGTTATATATTTAGTGTATCCGTTCGACAAAGAGGTGATTTAATCGGTTTACTGTCTTTGTGAATTAGTTTTGGGATTTTGTAAATATGATAATAATAAATTATGTTGCTTTTACTTTTTATGTCATATGATGAATGCATATGTCAACCAACAAGTACAAATGAGAAAGAGAAATAAGAGTATGAATGTTTTGGATAATGCAAGCCATTTGTAGACTAATTTCTTTAGTATTGGGAGTAGGGTATCTATGCATGTAGCTAAGGTGTTTGCCTTATTTTTTATAAACTATAACGTGGAGGTAGTTATCATTTTTCATTTTAGTTTCTTCTCATGTATACGTATTTGCATATAATTTATAGTGACTACCTTCAGGTTACTGATTTTGATAACTCAATGATGGTTTGTTTAAAGGGTGTGGCTCAGTTTATAATTTTAAATGTTGTAGTTTTTCTCTTATTTTACTTATTATGTCATTATATTTGCATTAGGTAAAAAAAAAACTTATACCTAGCTTACTTGATCGAGGCATCTTTCCATTAAGTAAAATATAAAAAATGATAAAAACACCTTGGTAATTGTAGAATTCTAACATCAAATATGAATAAATAGGTTTATCGGTTTGGTTTTATGCAATTTAAATAGGTGTGGTTATGTAAAAATAAGGATAAACTTTTATAAATCATTAACTTTTCATTATCATTTTTAATTATCATATTATTTTTCTTTTTTACCCATGTCTGGAAACCTAATTCAATGCATAAATCAGTGATTTCGAAATGCCGTAAGATAATTTAAGAGTTTATAATAGTAGAGACTAGCACAAAACCGACTTTTCTTCCTTTGTGTAGTTTGTCTTTACATTAAATGCACTTCCCAGCATCCAAAATCATCGTCAACAAAAGAGCAGCAGAACAACAATGTTTATCCATCCTCCAAACCTGCACTACACTCCTTAATCTCAACCAAATTCATGCACAGATTTTCAAATTGGGTCTCCAAGACAACCAACTAGTCCTCACCAAATTCACTTCAACATCATCCGATCTCAATGCCATTGACTACGCTTCATCCATCCTATTCTCTCCGGATGCTAAAACACATCTCTACGATACTTTCCTTTACAACACCGTCATTAGAGCTTACGCGCAAACCCATCAATCCAAGATCACAGCTGTTGATATTTACAAAACCATGGTTTGGAATGATGTTACCCCTAATAAGTTCACATACCCATTTGTCCTCAAGGCCTGCGCGGGTGTCGGGAGGTTACGTTTAGGCGAATCTGTTCATGGTAAGGTTGTGAAGTTTGGGTTTGATGAGGACATACATGTCTTGAATACTATGGTTCACATGTATTGTTCTTGTGGTGGGGTTGAGAATGCACGAGTAGTGTTCGATGAAATGCCTAAGTCGGATTCTGTATCCTGGAGTGCAATGATCGGTGGGTACGCACGCATGGGAAAGTCAACCAGTGCTGTTGAGTTGTTTAGGGAGATGCAGATTGCTGGGGTTAAACCCGATGAGATCACCATGGTTTCTGTTCTCTCCGCCTGTAGTGATTTAGGCGCTTTAGAGCTTGGAAAGTGGGTGGAAAACTATATAGAAAGAGAAAAGATTCCAAAAAGCATCGAACTTTCTAATGCCCTTATTGATATGTTCACTAAATGTGGCGACATGGATAAAGCTTTAAGGCTATTCAAAACCTTGGATCATAAAACCATTGTTTCTTGGACTTCTGTGATTGTGGGCATGGCAATGCATGGACGTGGGTTAGAAGCTGCTTCATTATTTGAAAAAATGAATCTTTCTGGGGTCCCACCAGATGATGTCACTTTTATCGGGTTGCTTTCAGCTTGTAGTCATTCAGGTTTAGTCAACGAAGGCCAAAAGTACTTTGACTCCATGACTTCAAACTTCCATATAAAACCCAAAATCGAGCATTACGGATGCATGGTTGACCTTTTCAGTAGAGCAGGATTAGTCAAAGAGGCACTAGATTTTGTTACCAAAATGCCCCTTGACCCAAACCCGATAATCTGGAGGACGTTGACCGCTGCGTGTCGTCTACACGGTCAACTCAATCTCGGTGAAACCATCACAAAAAAATTGATCGAATACGAGCCGTTGGATCAATCTAATTATGTCTTGCTTTCGAATATATACGGGAAAATGTCCGATTGGGAAAAGAAAAAGAAAATCAGAGACATGATGGGCGAAAAGGGAATAAAAAAGATTCCCGGGAGTACAATGATAGAATTAGACAACAAGATGTATGAATTTGTTTCGGGTGATAGAACACATGATTTAGATAAAGAGATTCATGAGATGATTGATGAAATGGGGTGGAAGATGAAGATGGCTGGATATGTTGCTACTACTTCAGAGGTGTTACTTGATATCAATGAAGAGGATAAAGAAGATGCTTTGAATAGACATAGTGAAAAATTAGCTATTGCATTCGCGCTTTTGAAAACGCCACCTGGCACTCGTATACGCATTGTGAAAAACTTGCGTGTTTGTAGCGATTGTCATTCGGCAACAAAGTTTGTTTCCAAGATTTATAATCGGGAGATTGTTGTTAGAGATAGAAATAGATTTCATCACTTTAGAGATGGGATTTGTTCATGTAAAGACTTTTGGTGAAACTTGATGTCATTTGCATCACATACTAAACTTGCATTTTACATGATTACATAACAACTATCAAGATCTTTAACTCGACATAAACATTAATTCTATAGTTAATCAGCTTGATCCTAAGCTTAAACCACGAACAATGTCGGGTTAACACAATGTATAATTCGTGCAAACATTTAATGTAACAAACAAGTTGCACTAGGTTCTGTTGAAGAACTTGCCCCATAAGCATTGTTGCAGCGTGCAATTGTATTTTCTCCAGTCACAGTTGATGTTATGTTAATCTGATCCAAAGAAATACCAGAACATGCTACTTTGTTACTGCAATCAAAATTTATTGCAGTTCGAGATGACGATGTTCCTTGAAATAATCTGTAAGTTATGTCACTAATTTTCACTGCTGAACCCTGCAAATCAGAAATTATAAGCTCATAATTCAATTCTTTGAGTGATTAATCTTTGAGAAAGGGTTTTACCTCTGTAGGGCAATTATTTCCACTAGGACAATAGTATTGATCCACAAGTATCGGGTTATTCACATTATGAAGTGTAATTTGCTCAAATGTAATATCTCTAGCATATCCAGATCCTCCCTGTATGATTGTAGATAACGAGTTTTAACAGTACTCGACAAGCTTTCTAGGACTACTTATGATGACGAGAGAGAAAAAAATTGCAATTTTTGTCCTACTGATATACCCTATTACCTGCCATGTTTTGATTCTTGCTCCGTTTTGTGTTCCGGTGAAGTTGCAATTTCGTACGTAAATACCTTCCACAGTATCATATTCCCCATTTATGCCTAAACTTCCGATGCTACAAGATTAAAGAAAAAATAACAATAAGCAACAACACATATTTGACCCATAACATTGATCCGACCCGACTTTGAATTTTACCTTATACCATGGCCCGGACCGCAATTTATGCCCGTAATATTGATTTGAGAGGATCCGTTGATTAGAGCAATACAATCGTCACCTAACGTTTTATAGCACGATGTGTTGTCATGTAATAGAACAAAATGTAAAGGTAAACCAAAGACAATGAATATTATATGAAGTATGTACCGGTTTTAATAACGGAATCGTGTATATGTATGTAGGTTGAGAGTGACACGTCGATGCCATCGGTGTTTGGGCTATTTGCAGGTGCAACTATTTCTAAATTTGAAATAACGGAATTACTGCATCTGGATAGACCGATATGATTTCTAGGGCTATCAAGATGCTTAAGTTGTCTTAATCGAAGCCCATAGCAATTTTCAAAATGTAACGCCTACATACACGTTGCAAAATAACTTATTATGGTGTCAAAATTCACAATATATAGTAAATAAAACATTGTTCTGTAGCAATACGTTTTTAGTGTATGTTTAATTAATAACGTTTATTAAACAAGATTCTTACCGTTGGTGGTATTGAACATGTAGATTCTTCTGTTATCTACAAAAAATATATTAAATCAGTATAGTTATAGTTTTGAAAATCAATGATTGTGAATATTATCTAAAAAAGAAACTAAAATGCATGTACATCAGACAAAGATTTGGTCCACCAAGCATTGCCACGACCATCGATAGTACCACCACCATCAATAATAAGATTGTTAACGTCATAAAATAATAGCCATGCCCCGGTTTCACAACTACCCCATGAACTAGGGTTTTCAGGGGCGATGATTGTACCCAATATCTGCTCAAAATAGTAAATGTGAGTTTAATGATGGTTTTCAAGTTTGTGTGTTTTTTGTTCTTTTATAACAATTTGATGTACTTGAAATATAACAAAAAGAATTTGAATGAATTTGTATGTGCAATATAAGTTTGTATTTTGGGAGGGGGAATAGGATTACCAGAAAATAGATATTTGGAGATTTACACGGGCCTTGAAAGTTGATTGGGCCCACTAAGAAGGTTTGGGGCGATGGTATGATCAACCTTGACTTTGGTCCAACATCATTACATAACTCTTGCCAAGCTTCTTCAAAAGCCTTGTTGCAAAAATTAAATTAAACAACAAAAAGGTAAACTCATTGTATTTTATTGATTACAAGTCGAATAATCAAAATATAGGTTATAGACTTATAGGTAAATAGTTGGAAGTTGTTAAAAGCTTATTCAAATAACTACTGTTTTTAATGCTTTATTTTAAAAAATAGATTATTCTTTTGAATAATTTATTTTTTAAGACATGAAATTTATGGAAAATAAGTGTAAATGATCGTATATACCTTTGTATCATCAGTCATTCCATCGCCCTTGGCGCCATAATTCATTACATTATAAGCACCACCATGGCTATGATGTAACAAGCAAAGCAATAACATGATAAAAAGTAGCATTTTCATTCTACTTATTATACACATATATAATATTAAGAATGACTTGTGTATGAAATACAATTCTCTGGTATTGTGTAGTTTCTTTTCTTGATCAATAGTTGGTGAATATTTATACATATATGATATATGTATGTATTGAATGAAGTGAGGGAAGAGTCCATGATTTTGACTTGAAATTTAATGTTTTAAAACTTCCAAAAGAGAAAACAAGATGTTGAAGCTAGAATCTAAACTTTACATATTAAAGAATATCAAGTATCAACGGATATTCTCCATTTCACCATTTTTTGTTTTATTACTCTATTTGTTTGAAATATCAAATGTCTTTAATTTCAAAATCGTGAAATGAGTAATTTTATATGTAGTTCCAAAAACGGCCTTTGTCTAATGAAACTTTAACACATACTTTATTTGTCTTAGGGGAATAATAACATTTGGGTAAACTGTGAGATTATTTGTAACATATCTAAAATATCATCCACTAATTTATTAAAAGCGCTGTCTTTTACCTTTTATGAAATGTCAAAATCGTGAAGTATTTCGATTTTTATTCAACAAAAGTCGAATCTTTTTTTTTTTTTGTCATTTATGATAAATCAGAAATAATGACCCTTACCTTGCTTTCTTTTACTGTTATTTGGAATATATGTTTCTTATTGCAGCCGATACAATTATGCGTTAAATTCATAAAGATTTTGTTTAGGTATCTTGTGATAATACTTAATTTTGTATTTTTCAGGATTAATATGTTTAACATAATTAGCTATTTATAATATCTATTTTAGTCCATACCAAATTTACTTTGCTCTTAAAGTCCTTTTAATTTAGTTATTCATTTCAATTTATGTAAAAACAAGATTTGAACCGATCACACGATGATTTAGCATTAGCATGACTGTTATCGACACAACGTGAGTATCTTTTGACATGAATTAATCTTGATATAACATTTCGCATTCAAATTTTGTTTTATTGTTTATTACCATTATTAAACAAAACACCACATCTTTATATCATCATGTTAAACCATTGTAATAACACAAGTAAAAAAAGCATGCTAAAGATCTACATTTCCAACTACATAATACATTATGCACCGGATGTGATCACAAAGGCAATCATAAAAGGGAAAAAAAAGTCTACAAATGGTTTACAAAAGTTGCTACAGAATAAAACATACGAAAAGGTGAACATATGCAAATTGATGCAACATCATAATTCATAAACCATTAATTGTCAACTATTCCTAAGAAGCAATGCAAGGACACAACTAAACATCAGTCACAATTTCCGTAAAAAAAAACTGTAAAACAAGTGCACTAGGAGGGGCAGAAAAAGTAATTTGATGGGTAAATAATACGTACTATATGTGTAGTATTTATCTAATCAGGAAGTTCTTTAATATCCACTTCAACTTTTCTTGAATCTAATCATCTATAATCACTTAGAAGTTGTTTGGCAACCTTTGAATGATTCAAAGGTTTGAATCCAACTCTAAATGAAAACATGTTGTTTGGTAAGGCTGCTTAACGGATATGTTGAATGTGAATAATTATCATTTTACCTTATTGTTTAAAAGTATTAATAAACACCAACAAACCATCCAAAAAATAAAATATTCATACCATCTTAAAATTGACAAAAAGCCATCACATGAAATAACAAAAGGATTCTTTCAATTCACAATTCATGACCTGCTATACTACTATTCCATACCGAATTACCACATGAAATAGCAAAATGATTCTCAATTCAGCTTTTATGAAATAACATTCATACCACACAAAAAATCTCTCATTCAATTAGTTTTCATGAAATAGCAAAAGGTTCCGCAAATGGAAAGTATAACAATCACCACTACGAGTGATATAGTGATATCGTTGAAACAAACGGACCTTTGACGAAGTCATGCTTACTCAGACACGAAAGTTCAAACTCTATCGACAGATAACTGAGACATGTGAATACAATAGTGCTCTATCACATGATCAAAAAAATTCGTAGGAGGAAGACGAAGATAAGCTTCAAGAAGCCGAACATACACCCAACCTTTCCGCTTGGAGAATACATAATACTTGCAAGAGGAGAGATGTCTACGATGTCTATCGACGACAATTATAGGGAATAACACACTCTATTGAATTCGGAGTAACCGTAGACACAACGATGGCTAAGTGATCACCAACCATTATCAAAGAAGAGTTCGAAGAAGAGCATCCTAGAAAAAACGTAGTAAATGGTAAAGAAAATAACTAAATTTAAAGTTTTTTTTTATTTAAAGAGGGGTGATTTGGGCGGGACTATGATATCACGCCCATTACCATTGATGTGATGGGACGACCGTTCCATAACCGAAACAATGGTTTGGTGTCCCATGTGCACATGCATTGATACACCTTAGAAAGTGGGTACAACTGTAAAAGAAACAAATAAAAATAGGCACACTCTAGTTTCGAATAACATAGCACGATTAACACTCACTTAGTCATCCTATGGGACTTGATAGGCCCTACCTTCCGGACATCGAAAATCTTGTTATTCCCATATTTAACCCCAACATGTGGACCTATTCCTGAGAAATAATAACAGGAGTAACATGAGTTGGCATACAATAAGTGTTGAAATAATTAATATTTCATTATTAATCTACAAACTAAATAAGG